CCCGGTTTTTGTTCCGGACCCCCTAGACCCACCCCGTTCTCCGCCTCCAGGTCGACCCCATAGGCTAGCCGGTGTCTATGGGGCATCATCTTCACGGACCCTATCGGCGTCACCGTGGTGGCCGGGTCCAGCTTCACCAGGGCCGCCTGTAGCTCCACTGCGTCCATCTTGAGATATCGAGGAGTCCCCTAGGGCAAGACCTAGGAATCCCCTAAATCCCCTAGGGCGACCTCTATGCACCAGATCTGGTCCCACCTAGTTCGGCTGGTCCACTTTTGTCGACACACTTTTCGCGGTCTACGCTCGGCACGACATAACCTCTAAAAGGCTTGGGAGAAACTCATGCTTGGTCGGTCAGTTTCTTCTCCGATGTGTGCTCGAGTTTTCACTAATTACACTTTCCAACATTCTCCCAAAATCCCGGATCTGGATTAAGGTAGATAGGCTGGAGGATCTTTTTAAGAGTTGCTGATAACAGGGCTGAGTGCTTAAGACGATATGAAAGGGTCTTTTTATATATACACATAAGACGTCAAAATATCCTCTTATCCGGTATTAATAAAGACATTCTTCTTCGAGACATTTCTTGTATCTTCGTAACCACGTGTCGAAGCTTTAAATTATTCGACGCGCCCAGATAAGTCTTATCAATATTCTGACGTTTTGATTTATCTAGGACCCTTTCGTAACACCTTAACCAAGATTTCCCACGCGTGGATGATCGATGACGATCAAAAGAGCTGAATAAAAAATTTCTGCCGTTCACCAAAACGTACGATGAGACAATGAAAAAAAAAAAAAAAATAAAAAGAAAAAGGATAAAGGAAGATCATGTTGCGGACCATCCGCGCAGATGCTCGACTTAAGAATGATTCACCGAGAATGGTTAATTGAGCGCCTCCACCCAGTCGTCATCCCGAGTCCTTTGTTTCCGATTTCGAGTTCCTCTTGTCCTCGGCGAGGATTCTCATCGGATAGACCGCGTGATTCATACTTTCGTCCTCTTTGTGTGATTAAAAGGGACAAAACGAGCCGATCTATCCCGGCACCTACATGACCGGAGTAACGTCCTTCCAGAGATGACCAGGGCGGATCCTGCAGGACCCAGGACCTCGAAACCCTCCACATTAAGATAATTTACGTCTCCTTTCCGAGAAGGCGACCTATCCTTTTTGCAAGCCACCATATCCCTCGACTTTCCTTCCACGTCTTTCATTGCCTCGAAGACCCGAAAAATGGCCGTCGTCGGTACTACACGCGAATTTACTCAGAAGGACTCGACAGGACCTCCGATTAAAAAGGAGAGATCGGACGCGACGATTGCACGATCGAGATCCCTCGCATAAATAAATCGGCCATTTTTTTTTCTTTTTCTTTACGCGCAATTGCGATAAAATTATCCCATTAATATATTGACATCGCTCGAATGTCTCGGGACATTTGTAAAGACTCCTTAATTAGAATGAAATTGATACGAGTCGCCTCATTTCGCGGTTTAATTTCATTTGAAATATTTTTTAATTGCGATCAGCTTAGGTAAAATTGATACGACGGAAAGAAAAAGAAGTGGAAGTTAGAGTCTGTTAAGTTATAGGTTTCGCATCGCCCTAATGGCAGATCTCGTAAAAAGCCTGATATACGGCGAGTTGCCTTGGGGATGTCGCTGATCTGGGGATTTAGCCCGGGAGGATCAGAGCCAGGATCAGGACCAGGTAAGAAATGTCCAGGGAAGACCGAGAGGCCGATGCACCTTGGGATTCTTTGTGGGGCCGAACGGGTTGCAGCCACAGCTTCGGTTTCCTGCATCCCGTTCTCCCGCCATTGCCGGGGAAAAGAATTCAGTCAAACCGAGGGATCCCACGCAAAAACTCAGACTGTGATTCCAAAAAGGAATTCCCTCGGCTCCGAGTAAAAAGTACCCTCGATAAATTCCCCCGATTGAAAACGAGAATAATAAGAATTCACCTCGGTCAAAGTTTGCTCGAACGTGAAGAGTGGACGAGTTCGTTCGGTTTATTTATTTAATTTCGGGGTCTGACCCAGGAAAATGAAATCTCAGAGATTCTGAAAAGGAATTCCCTTGGACTCGAAAATTAAAAAAAATTCCCTTGAGGAATTTTCCTGATAAATGAAAATGATAAAGGTCCTCTTTATCGCGGTTTGGTCATGCCCGATAAATGACGGAGTTCCCTTGGTTTAGTCATTATTTTCGTACCTGAGCTGGATTAATTTTCACAATGCACTCCTGAGCGTATTAGGCCAACAAAGAGCGCAAAACGGCCATTGTGACTTGTATTTGCATTGTCCTTGTTAAAAGGATGGGACTGGTCTCGAAACCGCAAGTGGGCGACCGCGTGGGTGGATTCGGCTGGAGGGAAGAAAAATAGTCGGCTTTAAAGAGGGAAAAAAAAACGTCCTCTTAAACCGGCGAAACTTATTACAGCCCGACTTTAAAGTTTCCGTTTAATTCGAGTGAATCGAACGAGGCTCGATTAAAATGTCCCGCCTTTGACGCAAGGCGCGACTCCACCCTTTGAATCGGTCAAACGAAACTCTCAAAATAATAAATAATATCCTATGAAATTAGTTTTCACGATTATTAAAAAGGTTTTATAAATGTTCCGAGGTCTTGACGTGTACCGAATGACCCTTTCATATCGCCTTGAGTAATGAAAGGGGGAGCGAGGGTTTCCTTTATTTTCCCCTAGGAAGATTCTCGGGTTTTCACCCCGGGGAAGGCTATCACCGATCTGACGGTTTATCCGTGCGTGGAAATGCATCTCTTCTCGGTGCAGCTTCCGCGAGAGATGCTCTTAGCTCGGGTTAAGGCCGCGATAAGTTAAGTGGGGTCACTTATTGCGGGCATAATGCCTGCTGGTAAGTGCAAGCCGTGGAGTTACCCTCGGGTAATGCCAATAATCGGCTAATAAGAAACCTGGATCGGAGACATCGGCAAGACAGAGAGATCATCTAGATGCATTTAAGCGCAACGGAAGAATCTGTTTTACCGACGTCGATGACATTTCATTTCACCTTGTAGGGAAAATATCGGTTAAAGGCGATTTAACCGGCGTTGGTTCAATGCAAGGTAACCTAACTTGAAGCGCAAGGTAATGCGACATACCAAGGCGGAACGTGTAAAAATTTCCCCTAGACGTTACATTCCCCCCTATAGAACCAGGTGCTAGTTCCTGTTACGAATCCTAGTCTTACCCAACCTGGACTCCATTGTGTGGCATTGAAAGTGGAATACCCCCCGGACAGCTCAGACAGTGAAAAAGGATATCTATGAGTTACCCGACGTCTTTACCGAGCTTAACGTGCTTACTTAACGCGACGTAAACGCATAAACATTTCCAACGCGTTTTAAATCCATTCTAAGGAAACAATCTTCTGCGGGATATTTTTCTATCGGTGCACCTAGTTTAGAGATAGGTTTTATCAACATTTGACGTTTTGACATATGTATATATATATATAGAATGATCCTTTTGTTTCACCTTAAAAATGGAGATTTTTTTATGTACCGTTCAAGGTCGATTTATCGCAATTTTTGCTCCGGTAATCACGCGGCATAATCAGCTGATCCCTCGAACAGCAATTACTCCTAATGGAAGAAACGCATCTCGTCCTCAATCCCGGGTTATAAATCATTAGAGAGACGCGGATTTATCGGGCATGCTCGAGTAGGTCCCAGTCGGGAATTTCTGCGCCGCTTATGTATGTATTTGGCGCGAGACTCTACCGAGTTTCTCGATCGCGGTGTCTATGCGTGAGTCAATCGTCGCGAATCGATTTCCACGTGCAGGGAGAAAGAGAGATCGAGAGAGATATTGCGCTACGTCGGAATTCATATAATGGTGACTTGTGCCATTGTTGCGAAAATCCACTTTGTTCGACGAGGTGGAAAATCATTGGCGAAATTGATCTGCGGATTTTAAACATTTCGCCGGGGGAAGGGGTAGACCTGGACGCGTTATTTAAATTCAAACGAATATTCTAAGCAACGTTTAATGTGAAATCCTGATTTCGGTCGTGATTTTAGCAAATAAGAACCAAAGTGTCCGGAGGGAGTATCGATCGAGTGCGGCTCACCGAGGCATTTCGCAGGGAGGGAAGTTTCCGCAATTAAAGACTCGACGAGAGACTCTTACGTCCACTGGAGACGTAAGTTGGAATTTTCTCATTGCCGTGGCGTCTGCACGGTTATCGCACGAGAGGGACACGTACGTTTGGTGAAGAGAGAAATGTTCCAAAGGAAGAAATAAAACAAAAAAAGGGAGACAGAGAGAGAGAATTCATGCGCGCAATTATTCCCCGAGAAGGCAATGGCCGAATTTCTCGAGACGGTTTTTTGTTTCCCAACCTCTCGTAGGATGAATTTCTTCCGGGGAAAATCGCCGATTTCCACGCTAACGAGGAACTCGCACCCTCGACTCGTGACGTTAACGAGACCACGCGGGGAAACCGCCACGTAATTACCGCCTGGTGGTACCAACCTCGGGGGTATCGGAAAGCTCGAAACTTTCGAGTGCACTTCACTTCGCACAAAGTTTAATAAGATTCTGGGATAACGCGGGAAAACTTGTCATTCTACCCCGAGGTCGGGGATTTAACTGAGATTTTATTCCGGAAAATCCCGGGATTAAAGTTTTCCCGAAAAAATGTCCAGGTGTCAAGTCACCGTAAATCCACCCGAGTTATCAGGACTAATCGAGTCCTTTCGACGGCATCACTCCCGGATAAGGATTATCAATAGGTCCACGATAGCGAGTCACATCAACCCATGAATTCACTGTCGATGGCCGTGATTGGTCCATCCACCTCCACCTTTTGAAGGGTTCTTCAGGGCCGAAGGTAAGCCACACACAACGAAAAGGAATGGCACTTATCGGTCCCTTTAATACACGTCCTACATCGGCGCAGAACCGATCGGCACAATCCGGCTGATAAGAGATACCCCAAATTGGCAGGAACGTCTGACCCAGAGGTCCAGTTTCCTATTCACTGGTCCAATCGTCCACCATCCTGGGTTGAGGTTCCTTCAGGTCCTCTGGTAAGAAAAATCCAGGTCCACCGGGCCAAATGACCCTGGATCCTTTTTTCTAGGGTAATGGATGAATTCAGGAGAGCTTGGAGTTATCTCCAGGAGCCGAAGCTGGTCCAGGGTGAGGAGAGCGATGGTCGGTCCTCTCCATCGCTTCGAGTGGATTCTGGAGTCCTCGAGGAGGAGTCCTAACAAGGAAACATCCCCAAGTGACCGGCGTCGATCTTCTTGATTTCCATATATCTCGAGGAGCATAGAAATCTAAGAGACACGTGTTTCTTTCTTTTCGCCTGAGATGGTCCACACTTAAGGGGTGAAACTAACCCTGGTGTCCAGGTGAGACCTCGAGGTCCAGATCCTGGATGCTCTTGGAAGACGACGAGGAAATCCACCACACACGCCGAGATGCAATCCCGACACCTATCACCTCAGGGTCGAAGACCCTGGATATATCACCACCCACCCCGAGATATCCGGAGTAAGGTGGTTCACCAGCTTCCTCGAAGCCTCCGAGACGAGGACGATCTCGCGGATTTCCGCTTCGGGCCCGGACGGGCCTACTTTCCGCACGACCGGGGCGTGTGGCTCGTCTGGACCCACGGGCGGCGCGATTCTGCGATTCCGCGATCCACCCTCTCGCGGCCGAGTCGCGGGGGTGGTTCGCTCGGTTCGGGGTGGGATCAATATGAGGTTGGGTGAACGCGGGAAATTCGCGCGCAGGTCCTGCCGGAGCCGAGCCGAGGGGAGCCGAGTCTCCTCCGAGCACCTTCCCGGAGCCATTTTCCCTCTTCCGGGCCCGAATTCGGACCCCGAGTTTCGGGATAGACCTCAATTCCGACCTCTCTCCCTTTTCCGTATCACCTTAAAGTTTAATTTACCCAGCCTTAAATTTCGACCACCTCCCTTTGGGGGATCTTTTTTATGAACTATGAATTTGATGCCAAATACCTGAAATTTCGACTTCACCTCTCTTTGGGGGATCTTTTTTATGAACTATGAATTTAATGCCAAATACCTGAAATTTCGATTTCACCTCTCTCTGGGGTATCTTTTTTATGAACTACGAATTTAATGCCAAATACCTGAAATTTCGACTTCACCTCTCTCTGGGGTATCATTTTTATGAACTCCAAATTTCATGCCAAAGACCTCAAATTTCGACCTCTCCTCCATTCCTAGGCCTGAATCACGTGTTGAAGTTTCTAATAACTGGATGCACCCAGCTTGGAAAAAATTTCTATGAATATTTTGACGTTTCTCATATACGTAGAGTGGCACTTTCGTATCACCTTAAACTTTAATTTATGCAACTGCGAGGGCACGAATGGATTCCTTTCTCAGCAGAGGTTTCTACGAAACCTCTCCATACGTGGAACCGGGGGGAGCGATATCTCCGTATGGAAAAATTAATAATAACGCAGAAGTAGGCGTGCTAATTATGCGAGAGAGCATGTAGCCGAGTCGAGTGCGCAATTAGTGGATACTAAGTGGATGCGTGCGTCTGACTTTTTTTTTTTTCCACTTTTAAGCGAACGATATCGCTGCTAAGCCATATACACGAGGACGCGGTTCGTTGACATCGGAAATCTTGGCAGAGTCTCGCGCCAAATACATACATACTCTATCGCACTTCTTAAACAACCTTCACCTAAGAGACTTACCCGTAAAAGTTTATCATCCAAGGCATGCTTTGAACTCACCTAAAACAAAGAAAAACAAACATTAACGACCCACTAATTTAAATTAAAATTTATAAATTAGGTTATGTCGATACAAAAGTGTCCTATACACATCAAAACGTGAATATATATACAAAACATTCCCCCAAACTGAAACCCGGGAAATTTCACACTTTTTGGCAGAAAAAAAAAAAATCTACATATCCCGGACAAGAATAAAAAAAATGAGAGAAATTTTTTTTTCTTTCGAAAATTGTAAGTTTGGAGAAATGCTTTCTATTTTCACTCTTTTATGTATATATATGACACTTTCGTAACACCTTAATCGCCTAATATCGATCTAACGAAGTGACGTCCCAGGTTTTCCGGATTTCAATTTAAAACGGTTTCACTCGTTACCTAAGCATAAATAAGAGATTTCACCCGTTCAGGTTTTCATTCGTTACAAGAGCCTATTAAATGAGATTTCCAAAGATAATGACCGTTTCGCAAGGCGTCGCAATTAGTTCGGTTACATTGCACTAAGAGACTTAAGGTTGTACGAAAGTATCATTCCATACATATGAAACGTCGAGTCCTAAACATGAAACGTAAGGAGACAACGCGTTAAGTCATCTTAAATTAATAACGGAATGTTATAAATGAATATAAAGTAGGGAAAGCTCGAGGGTACCCGAACAAAGCGGAAAAAACTGACTCCGCGACGGGAACATACCTCGGGAAAAGTTTCGAAGTAGGGTACTCTCTCGGTACTCTCTCGGTACTCCAGTACTACGCTACGAGTGAGTAGTTCTCGGGGGATTTCCATTTATACGAGTTCCGCGGAATTGCGGAATCGCAAATTCAGGTCGCAGCGGACGACGCCGATCGGAGAAAGGACGATCGGATTTCGAAATTGAAAGGACTCCCCCGAACCCTGATAACAATCCCTAATACGAATATCAAGATACGATTAGTCATTAGAAAAAAAAAAATTAATTCCTAGGGATTTTTCTATTCATTTTAGACGTGATTTAATTTTCCCAGATTTCCCAGGATAACACTAGCCGCCGAAAATTACCTCGTAGGAGCGGATTTCTGCAAATCCCCTGCCGTCAGGATTCGCGAATCATTTGGAAAAGCGATAACGGTCGGGGTGGGTTTAATCAGCGGATATCGCGGGCCGGCCACTCGTAGTCATCCTGCACGTCGGCCCGGGGAGGCATTAGTAATATTGAAACGTGCATATTTGATGTCATCATCGCAGGTTCACGGGAACGCTAGAGGCAAGGTATCTTTGGAGAGCCGTGGGAGGAGAGGGCCACGCCCTCGTAAAAGCCAGGGAACGGTGGCGCCATCTCTGCCCGAGCGGCCGAAACTCATAGCGGGGACTCTCTTACTCGTCGGTACGGTAACTCGCGGCGGATGGACTTCCGACCGACCGCAGATAGCGCAGCAGGATTGGATTCGAATTCGAAAATTCTCGGTGACATTAAATCGCATAAGGCAACTGAGAAACATACCGTAACTTACCGAGAATATCGAGAATTCATGAGAACGTTAATTTTCTTGATTTATACTCTAGGTATCTTCGTTTGAATAATATTGTTTAATTTTGCTTACTTGTCCGAGACTAGTACCGAGGATATCATTTTCGATTCGATCGTTTCAATCGACTTCGGCACCCTCTCTTTGTCTTGATTCCTGGCCGAGAGAAATCCAGATGGGAAATAAATATGGCGCTAACGGCGAACCGGCGGATTGACTAGCGCGGAAAGGAATTCAAAATAGTCCCGGGTGAGTCGCACTTAAAATAAGATCCAGCTTTGTTTTCAGTGAAAACGTTTCGAGGTTAGGCGCGCGCGTCCATGGGGAGGTCGGTGGCGCGCCCTCGCGGAATAATATCCAGGCGATCCGGAAATACCTCACGCGAGAACCAATCGGAAATAGGCCAGACACGAATTTGCGGCTAACTTCGTCCCGAGAAATGCGCCTCTTTGACGTAACCCCTTAGGAGTATCTAAACAAACTCTTTTACCCGATAAATCCGCCGCCACTGCAGTTTCTTCCCTTCGTTTTAGGTTAGAAACTACCCGACCCCCGCAGACTGCCCATACAGACCACTTTCTCACCTGGAAAGGCAACGATTTATGCGCAACACATCTGGTAAATTAAAAAGTGCCGTGAAGTGAAAAGTAATCATGAATTAACGACACGAGTCAGGTAAAGGGTGGAGGAGCGAAAAGCGGAGATTCGAGGCAGTCCTGAGAAAAAGCGAGGGACCTTTCCCGGCCACGGAGCAGAGGGGACCTAGAGGGAGTACCTCGGACACTGAACATGACGCATGGCATAAGCAACGAGAGGGTTCAACTGGGCCGCATTTCAATAACGATAAATCACCCCGGTTTGACACGACCGGCTCGGAGATCTCACCGCCAGATATATCCCTGTCAGAGGTCCGCCATTCTGGGGACCTCTCCGCCTTCGTTTGGTCCACAAGAGCCGTACAACAAGTAGTACAGGTAAACCAGGTAATACATAGACCCTTCGAGATCGAAGATGCGTCCCCATAGATTCGTTCCATCCTCTCTGCCCAAAAGGGGGAAAAAAAAAATCGACATTCCCAAGGAAACATCACCGGACCCAATTCTAAGGTCATCGAAACGAAGTCTAATGGGAAAGAGAGATGGAGAATGAGAAACGGAGATTAAAATGATTCGGTTGAATCGATGACATTTCTCTTGGTTTTGCGTCTAGGCAACCATGTCTTAGGAATTGGAAATTAGGAGATATGATGTTTCGTATGTACGGAATGACTCTTTCATATCACCTTAAGAAGGAACGGGAAAGGCCTTATCAGACCGGACCGGAATCGGAAGCGCCGTTAAGAACGAGACGGTCGAATGAAATTGTACATACGCGTCTTAATTGCGGAGCCAACGGAAAAATGGAAGCGGTGCTCCAGTTTTTCACGTGCCCAAAGACATGCTACTCGCTCTACAAATCAGTGAGGTTCCGGTGCCCGTGTTCTCGGCGTTTAAGTCAATTAATCCGTCCAATTAAAACGAGCCGTTAAGAGAGCGTCGAGGCGCGGATGCTATCAAGGACGCGACGGGATTCGCGGGGAAACTGATATGATCGCCGATAACGAGGTGAAATTAAACGAGACACGTGCTACTCCAAAAAAAAATAATAAAGACGCGATCGATTTTTTATTTTATCCAAATACGATTTAATATGAGATTTTTCGATTGACCACTAAATTCGTCCCGATTAATACTGTGAAATTTTCACTTCTTAACATTATTAAAAAAAAAAAAAAAAAAAATTGGACGGAACGAACTTACGGAAAACATTTCCCGACCATTCCTACCGAGGTGCTTTTTGCGGATTCGAGGGAAACTGGGAAAAAGACAGTCGTGGAGGGCGACCGAGCGAGCGGGAAAAATTAATCACCGACTCTAGAAAGAGAGAGAGGGGGGTGGAAAGGGAGGAAAAGAGAGAAAAGGGTGAGTTTCCCTCTTTCGCGCCCCACGGCCCCCGACTGGGGCCTGAAAGCTCCCCCGCGACGCAATTAAAAGGCGAGCTTTCATCGAGAAAGGGTTTATCGCGAAAAATCGCCGACCCCCGACTGTTCTCCGAAGGATCCTCTCGCCTTTCCCGCTGTTTTCCAATTCCGTCCGCGATCCCGTTTATTTTAAATTCCCCCGGAGTCCCTTATTCCTCCCTTCGGGAGTTCTCTACTCCTTCGCTCGTAAAAGTGCCTCGAGTAAGACGTAGCTTTTCGATTCTCGATCCACCGGGCCGATTGCCCATAACTTTGCGACCCATCGTCCTTTATTCTATTAAACCGATATGAAAGGGTAGTTCTATATACATATGAAACGTCAAAATATTTATATTAATTTTCTCTCCGAACAGGGTGGCACCGGACAACGTTAAACATTAATACGTGATTATGATACCCCCAAAGAAGAACGGGAATTTAAATTTTCACCTAAAAAATCTGATCTTGGTTCTAGCCTAGGCTAAATAAAAAACATATATTATTTTTTTTTTTCTCCGACGCGACTTTCATGTCGCCTTAAACGGAACAATTACGTCCAGTTCGGTGTTAATGAATTAAATAAGCACGGCGAGGTCCTTAGTCACATGGGCGAGGTCTTTCTCCCATGGGAGTACTCCTCGTTCCTTAAACGAAACAATCGACTCCCGTCGACCGCGATTAAATAAACAAGTCGAGTGGTGTCGATCTCGACGGCACTACCGCAGCGGCTCGACCGCAGCCGCATTTCGGAGGCGGCATTTTACGACATCAAGTGCCATCAAATATCCACACGATGCCTTAATAAATCTTCGGTCCTCCAAGACCATATATATATATTTTTTTTTTTATTTCCCTCTCAATTTAAATTTGTAAAATAAATTTGTAAATTTCAGATCTCACCTCTTCAGGATAGGCCCTCTGCTGAAGAGCGGTCCAGCACATCCTGCAGGGGCAGCTCTCCTTCTCTCTCGGGCCATCTCTGTCTCTTTCGCGATGCCCCACCTGTGGGGGCGGTGGGGGGACAGGTGGAGGCAGGGGGCTGGTGGCGACCTCGAGGCTATCGGAGCTGGAGTTGTGTCTCCGAGGAGGGGTGGCGTTTCCGCGCTGCTGGGACCCCATAGAGACTCCAGGGGCCTGCTTGACCTCCGACCTCTGGGTCTCACCGACAACTCTCGAATACAGGGAGGTGAGATACTGATTGGCGGCGCACTTTTGCGGCTGGGGTTTCAGGAAGTCGTCCAGCAAGTAAAAGCTCTGGGCCCGACTCGACCTGGTGGCAGCAGGGACCCAGGTGCAGTCCTGCGGGGCCTGATCGGCCCTAACCTCTCTGGTGGAGGCATCGTCGGGAGGACCCTCGCTCTCGGCGGCGTCCCCGTCCTCGCGATAGAGTCTGCGTCTGGTTTCCCCGATCCTGGAGGAAGACTCGGGCCCAGCCTCGGTAAAAAGGGCCCGACCAGTCCTGGAGGTCCTAGCCGAGTAGGAGGTGGGTGGTCCATAGCGGGTCTTGGTGCCCGACCCGGAGGTGGCATCCCTGGGGGGTCCTGCGGCCTCCCCGGCTGCCTCCGCGGGGCCCGTTGGAGCCTCTCCTTCGTCCCGGTACAGCATCCTCCGCACCTTGTTCACCTGGGCCGGGAACTCGGCCCCACCCTCCCGAAAGAAGCTGCGACTGGTTCGCAGCACCCTGGCGGAGTACGAGGTCGCAGGGGGGTAGTGGGCCTTACCCTCCGAGGCCCCGTCCGCAGTCTCGATCATGGATGCGCGAGCACTGGGAGAGAACGAGGCCTGATTGTTGCTGGGATTGTTCTGGGTAGGGGTCTCATTGGTCAGGAGAATCCGAAGTTCATACCCCAGGGACCTCCACTCGGCGGAGTCCTGGGGGGTCCCCGAGGTCCCGACCGACCCGACCGACCCACCTCCTCCAGATAACCCGGCCGACTTCCGCTCGTTCGAGGGAGAGGACCACTTCCGCTCGCTGGACCCTCTGGACCCCAACTCCTCTCTCTGTCGGGCCTTCCACCAGGAACTCGTAGAGGCCGTCAACAAGGTTGAGGCCCCTTGCAGCAGATTCTGGTTCTTCCCCTCCCTAACCTTCTTCCGCTCGCTGGACCCTCCGGAGCCCACCTCCTCTCTCTGTCGGGCCTTCCACCAGGAACTCGTCGAGGCCGTCAACAAGGTAGAGGCCCCTTGTAGAAGATTCTGCTTCTTCCCCTCCCTAACCTTCTCCTCCTTTTTCGGCTCCCGGAAACTGGAACTGCTCTCCAGGTCGCTCAGCGCTGCCGACCCCTCTCTCTCTCTGTCCCTGTAGACGCTCTTCGTCGCGGAGTATTGCTGGTGCCTTTGTTGCTCCTCCTCTCGCAACACCGCCGTGGTACTGCGCAGCCGCGGACGCACGCACACGAACCCGTAGTCGTTCGAGTCCTGCTCGTATCTGTGCGAGGGGCCTCCCGTGCTGCTGCTGGGAGAGACCTGGTGCTGCGGCTCAGCCTGCTGCGAGCTCAGCTGAGGGTTTGCCTGCTGCGGGAGCGTCGACGTCCGCGATCGGGGCCCGTCCAAGGAACCTCGCTGCAGACAGGAGAAACTCGCCGAGTGGCGCAGACTCGACGGCGGGTTGCCGGGCTGACTGACTCCCAGCATCTTGCCGAGAGGAGCTGGGACTCTCAGTTGGCCGCTTCTCGACCCTGATGGGCGATCACCTGGTCGGATCCCTTCGGCTCCCCCCGCGGCATCTTTCCGCACCCCTCGGCGAATGCCTGGAACAGAAACACGGGGTTCGGGCAAAGCAACTCAAAAATAAGTCGACAACTTAAGGGCTGATCGATGACGATGACGAAGCGGCGGATTTGGCTCGCGGGGAGATCCTTCGACCAGTCAGCTGATTTTGACAGCCGCAACAGCTGACTGGCTAAGCTCCGTTTACGGACCACGGGTCCGGCTCCGAATTGTATCATCTACAATATGTATCTGCGCTTTTTTTACATTTTACATTACCGTATCCACTGAGAGAGAAAAATATCTATCGAGCCTAAGAAGTATTTGGCTAATTCGAGGAATAATTATTTCGATGCGACCTTTATTCGGAATTATGATGGCTCGTTTGAGTGGAATAATTATTCTTGGAGGTAAAGAGATATTTCTTAGGTATTGGTCAATTTATTTCTCTTTCTCGGGGTATGTTCCCGGGTAATCGGCCGATAACCAGGTACGGTTCTATTCGACCGACTGGCACTCGATCGGATCCTAGATCCGACTTACTCTCTTTACCGGATCGAATTCAGAGCCGGTATGTATCGCATGTAGGCGGCGATTCGAGCGAGCGATCGGAACGAAAGTGTTCATGCACCTTGGCCGATCCGTCGAGAGGACGAAAGTCCGCCTACTCGTCGACGGACCGTGGGACCCGTTATCAAAGAGGTTAAGCTATCCCTTTCTAAGCCCGTACATGCCGTATTCCTTGTTGAAAATGGAGTCGAAAAGTCCTGTACTATTTTTTTCCACGATGCATACTTTGCCTGTAACGATTTTTTGAAAAAACAGCTGATCGGGCGCGTCGGGTGTCGCACGGAGCGCGGCGCGCCAACGCCCGATTGGGTTTCTTTCGGAAAATTATTACAGGAAAATGATGCGTCGTGGAAAATAATTTCATCGGACTTTTCGACTCCATTTTCTTGCACCTTGCATGGAAAAAAGTCTAACTGGGAAGCTCACTGCAATAAATGGGCTGAACAGTAAATTTTTCAAAATGGAGAGGAACTGCAATTCGGCTAACCTCTTTCATATGAGCCCACACTTCCCTTAGTTCATTAAAAATGAGGCTTAGGGGTATGATGAAATCTAAATGTAGATGTATACGTGTACAGATATAATATTCGAGAGTGTGACGTGATTAGGCAATTCTGATAGTGGCAGGGAAATTTGCGGGGGTGACAGATGCAACGTGTTGCGAAAAGCATGCCGAAGCGATCGATGATTCGCAACTGAAATGCGCAGCTGCAAAACTTGCGAGAGAAGGAACAAGGGGTCACATAAAAAGACACACATTATAAGTTAGGTTCCTCAAAATACATGTTCAGAAAATATCCATTGAAAATCCAAAACCGCTTACCAGGTTAAATGACATTCCTCCAGATTAACCCAAAATATACAAATCCGCAATGTCTGCGGATATCTTTCGTTGCACTTACAATTTTCTAATACATTAAAATCCCCGTTTTGTCGCCATTAATATTAACGGGCAGTTTTGTAAGGGTGAACAATTTCTAACTTTTGCTACTTTAAGGCTCTCGATTTTTTTTTTTCCGTGGACAAATGAAGTCCCAGCTTGACTTACTTTCGATTAAACGCGTTCGACGTTAATGGCGGCCACGTCGAGGTCGCACGAGGATCCGGCTTAATTTATGCACACCAGGCGATTTCCTAATTGACGCAGTCTAGGCCGCCAATTAACTCGATCGCAATTCGCAAATGGCGCGTAGGAAGGGGTCCGAATTAGGGCACCGAGTCGCCATCTCGTAAGCGCGAAAAACTAGCGAGCGATTCGCCCTGCCCTCCGCCGTTCGCCATTTCTGGATTTGCTAAAACATAACCGACCAAACTCGTTTAATGCCCCTTCAAGTGCAATTAAATTTACAGCCAACGTTAACCCCATTTTCGCGATTAAGGAGAATAATAAAAATCCCGGCAGGATCATTTCTTTACAAAAATGCGTCTCATTAGGCTTAATAAAAAAAAAAAAAAACAATACATCAGTAACCGTTAAACCGATCGCTCGGTCATTTTCCGCCATCACTGTCGATTATGGGATTTAATTATCAGGAGTGATCGATCGTTGAAAATATTGATCCTAATCGTCAGTCGTTACGTCCATTAAGTTGTGCCGCGTCTTCGCTCGTCTCTCGTAGAGAGAAGAGAGAAGCCCGAAGAGATGCCGGATCTCGTCAAGGCCGCTGATTTAACGCACTTGGCAAACGGAGTATACCATTTTTTGCGACAGACCGGCCACTAATTTCGATTCGGCATGTCCTCGATCGCGCAAAAAGGTCTCGAGGTCTCCGAATACAAATCGTTCGCTGACCTCGCCCAAGGAACCATTAGGAATGGAATTATTAAAATTCTTAACTTTTAGGAGAATACGCATAGAATAATAAAATTAATCAATAAAACTCATCTCCAAACTAGGTGCCCCGAGAAATCTGAAACTTTAACACGTGATTACGGGGGACCTAATAAAGGTCTTGAAGCTCAGGAAATTTCATATATCGAAAAAAAAAAAAATGACTTATCGGTTCTCGTCCGGGACGAATACAATTTTTTTTTTATTGAAAAATGAAATTTCAAGGGTTTTAAGACTCTTTATTAAATTTCGTTTGGAGGAGAGTATTATAAATATTTTTATATGTGTATGGAGTGACCCTTTCATATAACTTTAAAATGCTATTAGGGTTCCAGGGGAGTTCTTATCGAGTTCCATTGAAGTTCCCGTTCCCAACTCGAGTGACGGATGTACATCGGGGATAAATCGGAATCTTCCCTAGGAGGGATCGGAGGCTGAAAACCGTGGACACCGTTAATTTCGCGTGCATTATCGTGATTGCCGTTCGCTTAACCGCTACTTAAGTGGCACTTAAAGCTCTGCTTTTTTGCCCGCGAGGCCCAGTACTAGTCGGATACATAATGTACACACGGTAATGCACCGAGGGTAGCGCGACGCATCTAATACGTGAGACCGGTGCACTAGAGGTGCATCCCTGCATACCTCGGATATGCAAGTGCGTTTATCGCAACCGTACAGGGTGTATCATATAACCAAATCGTTCGAAAGATCTTCATAACTTATAAAAGATAATCTTTAAAGTGCGAAAGGGTCATTCCATATACGCATGAAAACGTGAAAATAATTATAAAACATATTTCCAATATGCGGGAATAATTTTTTAAAAAACTTTACCACGTGGTTATGGACGTCCATCATACCACGTATTCACCCCGGACAAGAACGAAAAGACAAAAGGAATTTTTTTCGAAGCAAACCTTTGGTTGAGAAAAATCCCGATGTACGCAATTTTTTTTTTTTTCAAATATTATGGAAATGTGAGATATTAATTATGATTTTTTTTCTGCGGAATGAGAACCACTGGCCGTATGCTCACAGATTTTATGGAGCCAGTGCTTAAAGATACGGTTACTTAGGGCGGTGAAACATTAAGATTTAAAGAACGCAATTATTAGGCCATTAAACCGAGCCACCGCAACATTATTCAAGGATACCAAAAATGAACGACGCGGGAATTGTTTATTACTGTTTTCGATCCCCGGTGATGGGTGCACATTAATTGAAAGGAATTTAAATGCTTGGTGGAAGAATAGTTGGCGTAAAGAGACACGAGTCAGTCGTGGCGCGTGCACTTGTCTCGAGACGCAACCGCGAGTCATTACAAGAAATCGAAAAAAAAAAAAAAAAGACAAATCCAATGACACTAAATTTATTTTACCCAAGATAATGCAACTTGCAAAATCTCGCCTGGTTTTCTGTTCTACATGGAGGAATGTCGATTCGCAGGACTAGCGTCCCGGATACATCGCAAGTCCTGTAAATTGTATAATTGGCTCGGTTATCTTCGACTGGAACTAATTACTCCCGCGGGCGAGAGAGCGGGACTATACTCTCTCGCGATTACCTGCGAAACCGATTCCGAAAGCCTGAGGAGCGATAAGGCCCCGATTATAGCAGATAAGAGTAGATTTGCACAATTTGCGCAACCCTCATTTTCTTTATAAAATAGTATATCAAACGCCACGACGCGTTGGTAAGAAAAAAAAATTCCTTTTCTCTCTTAATTAGTCGATCAAACTGGCAGGTGTATAAAAAATCGTAAAACGGAAGTGCGTTCTGAGACTTCCTCGAGGAGGTGCTCTTAGGAGTCGTCTCCCTCGATGGGGCCTCATTCCGCCGATAATTTAATTCAATAGCTTGATTGGCTCGTTTCCTGCGAACACGCGACTCCGATGATCCCTCTGAACCCTAAAGGCCCTCGGTGCGAAAGGGTTAAGAAGCCTTTGTTTCCCTCGATACTTAAGAAGCAATGCCTACCACCTTTGGCTACTAAAGGCGTCCGACGTTTGGTCCAATATCCCCCGCACGGTCAGGCGAATTTCGCCCATATGTCGTTCGAAGGATTAAGAGCGTACCTGAACTCTACTGAATTTTTCCCCGCCCCAGGTGTAGTCCAGTGAACCAAATTGTTTATCTTCGCGAATATTATTGACAAGGGAAGGTTCAGGGGAGAGGAAACGGGGGGGGTGCCCACCGAGTCAGGGCACCTGAAATATTTTGCCCTGCATCGCGTGACCGGGGCACGACGATGGCACTCTGTCCCACCGAGGGATGTCCCTGCGTATGGATTTACAGTCCACCCTGCGGTAACAGCGACTAACTTCGCATGCCAGTCATATCTCCGTCGTGGAGGCAATTATCCACCAGAAGAGCTCGCGATCCATCGTCCCGCCTTTCGACGTTTCCTGCTGGAACTTACGAGAAAGAGCCAGGAGAAGCCGGAGCGGCCGCCATCTTGGTTCCGCGGTGAGGCCCAAAAATCGAAGGAAAATAGTTAAAGCGTTAAAACAAACGTTATGCCTATGGAATTATTGAACGCGATGATGGACTTTAATACTTTCGATGTTTGGACAGGTTCTTATGGTCTTGGGGACTTTTTGGGTTGATTAATTCAAGGTTTTGACGACGCCCTTCGACGCG